AATCCTGCCTTTTTGTTGGGTTTCTCCTAGGGGTGAAAGTTGGCACCGAGAACCCGAGTTCGAGTACTCTGATTTTCTCCGATCGAATATTCGAGTACTCGAGTATTCTTGATATCCTAAAAATCGCACACCAACGGCCTTAAAATCACATGATACAACCCTGATTGAACCGATTCGCAGTCCTTTTCTCGGGTGTATTGGTTGGTGGGTCATTTGGGCTCTCTCTACTCGTTTACAAGTGTTCACCACACAGTCTGCACATCAATATCTGCTGACTGCTGCTCTGAAATGCAGACTTCTCTGGCAAATCCAAGTACCATGTATGAGCGAGTACTCGAGTACGATTATATTTGAAAAATCCAAACGAGTATTCGAATATTCGGTATAATTAGAGAGGTTTTGCATTCCGAATTTCGGAATTATTTTCGGAATGTGGCGGCAGGAGTCGAAAAAGTAGTCGAACTTTCGGAAGTGTGGTGGCGAAAGTGCATGGTTTTCCGAAAATAGATTTTCGGCTCTTCCATGTTTGGGAGTGCATATTTAAATACAAAAAAGTGTATTTTTCATGTTTGTATTTTTGCTTTCTGCTGCTCTCGAATATTTGAAAAATTTCCACGTATGTAGTTTTGATTTTTGCTGGTTTTGCTGCTCTCGCTGATCTCGCCATGTTGACTAATCTTCTCACACTTCATCACACTCTATCTTCCTTTGCCCTGGAGCCTACTAACAGTAGAAGACAGTAGTTCGCCAACCTCGTCTTCAGCTGTTGGATCACTTGGTCCACCATCAGTCCGTCCTCGTCTTCGAACCGCACCCAAATTCAGTTTGACCTGCGCACATGGATTTGATCCTGCTCAACCCCTTCGACGCTCTCCATTTGTTTTGCATGGCAACCCTTGGAAACGAAGTCGAATCAGATTTTCGGAATGCAAAACACTGAAAATACCGTTTTTCGGAACGCGCTTTTTTCGGAAAAGCACAGTCGAAAATCATTCCGAAATTCGGAATGCAAAACCTCTCTATTGTTTCACCCCTAGTTTCTCCCAAGCTTGGAAGAAAAGAGCCTACCATCAAGTTCTGTGCCGACTATCGTACACACAGATCCATCTTCTTTTGCAAGTATTATAGGGTTGGGGGATCAGCAAGCAGGAGTGAGAGGTGTTGCGTCTCTCAAACCAGGAGGTGTAAGTCACAAAGTGTCATCAGCCTCCACAGTGCATCATAAATACTCTGACGCCTCCGTAGAGGCGACAGGTAAGGATTATCCCTTACTGATGATGAAGACTTGTGACTTTTGGTCTAGTCCAATGACTTCGAAATATATTCAGCGTTATTCATTACTAAACCGAAGTGATTCCGTACGCTCTGCCTCAAAATACAGTAGCCATACCCAACCCTACCATATAGCAAGCTTCAACGACGTAATACTATAAAAGGAGCAGGAAGACAATTACGAATCCATACATTTGTAGTCATAGCAACGTGAATACAAAAGTATGCGCACAACCTTCCAAGCTGCTAGGCAGGAGCGTAATCATGAGGTTTCATGTCAAACTTATGTTTGTTGATCTGTGTGCGTGCGTGCGTGTGTGTGTGTGTGCGCGCGCACGTATGTGTGTGTGTGTGTGTCAAGTCCAGCATCGGCTTGGCCAGACACAAGTGCGACCGCACGAAACGAAGGACAGTGTCGGAAAGGGCCGACTTCCCGTTTGAGTGCCCTTGCCAAAGGAAGTTCCGACTACGTCACCATCTAGTGCGCCATCAGAAGTGCTGCTCCTCAGTCTCTTCCACCCCTCTCCCCTGACGGGGACCGTGTAACCTATCAAGGCAACGTGTATCAAGGTCAAGGTGTGTGTGTGTGTGTGTGTGTGTGTGTGTGTGCGCGTGCGTGTAACGTTACATGTCATCTTGGCTGGCAGAACACTTTCTCAGACATGATCATGGATTGTCTTGAGTTGGATAAATTGCTATCAGAATACTCAGGTGCTCCCAATTAGATTATTTCGATTCTCTGCTGTGGATGTTAGCTTGTTTTAAAGATTCCTATCACTGACTGAGTCAACCGCTCGCACAGGTATTGCGGCAAAGTGCAAATACCCCACCTATCCACCTAGCCTGAAGCACTGCTTCTTTACCATTGAGTGCGTATGGACACATGTTCTGAAAGGACCGTAGGCTAACCCCCACAAGACTGCTGTCACGCCCGTCAATAATAACTTCTCCTCTAGGCCTGTCTGACATCAGTATGGTGGTCAGCTTCTTTGAATAATAGGGACGTTTAGCAACGCGACAGTTCGTACTTTTGGTGGCGATGATATTTCGCGAAAATATATTTCGAAAAAGGAAACCTTGTAAAGGTTTAGCAACACGAAAGGACTTTTTCTCTTTTGTACCGTACTGTATATGCAGCTCAGTCTCAAACAGGGGCTGGAAATTTACAACTCCCTGCCGTCAAGTGCGTACCGAGGAAAGAGAAAGTTGCTTTCACAAATCACTGCAACTCGCGTCCGAGTTCTCGAAGTTTCGAGCTTTGTTTCTGTACTCATTCCCAGGCTCGAATTTTCTTCCCAACCATCGCGTTTCTAAACGTCCGTAATGTCCCCACAGCTGCAGTGCCACTCATCGTGCCACAGCGAACCATCAACAGGTACACCTGGCAATTTTGTATGCTGATCTATCCTGGTCCTTGTGGTCCACTTTCACAACAATAACACTCCCGGAAGTCTCTGCTGTGAGCACGGTGGCTGAACAATGGCAAAGTAGTATACAAACCGCACCAACGAAAAGCAACTGTGAAGTGAACGGAATGCGGTTAAGCACAACATTTTTGCGGGGAAATCCCAAAATCAGTGTGATTTTGCATGACCCCAAATGTTCAAGTTACCCGCAAAGACGTACAGGTTCCTGCACGAGTACAAGGGCAGTACCGCGGAATCCAGCCCGCGCCGCGACAGCGGCAAGGGCTGGATGAACAGCGGTACTGGCCGAGTATGAGTGACTGGAACGTGTTTCCCGTGTGCACCCAAGCCAAATAAAGAGATACGTACATGTACATGACAGACACACCTGCATTGTGGTTTGTGATTGTTTTCTGGTACAGTTTTTCGTAGTAGTCCATAGTGCTTTTTTTCTCGTGGTGCCATTGACATTGTCGACTGGGCATCGGGCATTCTGGCGGTTCTATGTATTCCTACGGATTTTCCCCACGTCTTGATCAGAAACCTCGGCAAATTGCGTGGGTCCTGCAGGTTGCTGAGCATTGCGCGCTTTGGTTGAGGCTCATCCGGCTCGTCCAAGATCTCCTTCGCGAGCGACTCGGCAATAAAAGTTTCAGTTTCTCCCTCAACTTTTCGGAGGAGCTCATTCACATCGCCAATATCGTTCAACAAAGGGGCTTCTTTTCTCCCAGTTCCAGATCAAATGTTGGAGCGCCATGATGACAGTTGTGGTTGCAAACAGTCGCTCTTCTGCTTTAGTTATTTATTAGTCAACTCTTTTTTTGATCTTTTTGGTTTTCCACTTACATGTAGTCGCTCTTTCCGCGCAATCCGGTGCCTTGTATTTTATGAAACATGCGGCAAGTAACCAATGAAAGACCATGATTCATGGGCATGAAGTAGAGAGTCGAGTCCAGTGGCTACTGCCCGTCGTCAATTGACGACGGGCAGTGGAATCCGTTCCTGCCCGTCGTCAAGTGACGACGGGCAGTAGAATCCGTTCCTGCCCGTCGTCACTTCACGACGGGCAGTGGAATCCGTTCCTGCCCGTCGTCACTTGACGACGGGCAGTGGATCCAGTTCCATCACCTTTGAGCAGGCAGGACCGCGCTTTCCAGCCCGCGCTATTTGATCTGTCATTGGTCAACTCCAAGGCGACGATCACGTGACATATGGGAAACAAGCTTTCCAACTCTCTTTGGGCGCTGGAAAGCATACCGTCTTTCGGGATAGAAGGTACAAGTTCTCTTCCTTTAGAATAATTTTTGGTTGGGGTGGGGGATCAGCAAGCAGGAGTGAGAGGTGTTGCGTCTCTCAAACCAGGAGGTGTAAGTCACGAAGTGTCATCAGCCTCCACAGTGCATCATAAATACTCTGACGCCTCCGTAGAGGCGACAGGTAAGGATTATCCCTTACTGATGATGAAGAATCACAGCTTTTTGGTCTAGTCGAATGAGTTAGAACTATATCCAGTGGCAGTCATCACTAAAACCGAAGTGATTCCTTGTGCCCTGCCTGTTGTAGTAACCGTACTCAGTTCATGTAACGCTAAACCAGCACACTTCAATGATATGCGCTGAGAGCAAGCCGCTGAGTCGTGAAACCGATCGATTTGCTGTCATAGCAACGTGAGTATACCATGTGTACAATCTTACAAACTGTTGATAATACATGTTAGTGTACATGGAGAGCGAGAACCTCAGTGTAGTTCCCTGCTGATCTGATCGATAGCCACGGGAAATATCACGGTTTCCATGACATTCACAAGGGGAGGGGGGGGGGGGGCACTTTTATCATCTATTTTAAACCATCCAAACTACATGTAAAAGCCAGTTTGTACCCTATGAACTGCGGTTAGGTTGGCCATGCTGACTGGTCCTTTCATCGCATATGCCATCATTACCTATGCAAGGCCGTCACAGCCGGGGCGGCTGGGGTGGCTGTGGCCATCCCATTTTTGCGGCCTTTTTTTTAGCACACTGCAGCTCAGCGCAAAGGTGACGAATAATGAAGAATCCTTGTTCCTGATTGTAGCGTATTCTTGGTTTGTTGCAGAATCAAACAGTCTTTTATTGTAGTTACACTGAAATGGCACTAAATGCCCTGAAATGGCACCAAATGCCCTGAAATGCTCGCAATCGGCTTCAATTTGAAATGTTTTCATGGGTGAGGACCCCCGACCCCCATCCATGGGGGCACCACCTCCAAAGTTGGTGAGATGGGCCTGCTATGCATGGTTGTGTAGAGGTGTATGCAAAATCATATACACTCAATGTTACCTACCTCAAGATAGGAGACAGTCACCAGGAACTCAACGTTCGGCGGCGACGATTCAATGCGCTCAAACAGCTGGCTGTTCATCTGTGAGCGCAAGATAGTGCAGAGAGATAGAGCGTCAGGGGAATTAGCATCACGAGCATAGTCTCACAGGCCATGATAATAACCTGAAGACTCCGCAGAGTATTCGCATGGGGGGGGGGGGGGGGGTGCCACTGGAACCTTTCATTGATAGATACCTTACGGTTACCACAACTTGCCAGATATATCTGACCCGTGGAACACCACTCACTGGGATGCGCCCTGGTGAGTACAGAAGGCATTGCAACTGGAACAGCTAGCAGGAGCAGTGGAACCGGTGCAGCAGGTGCAGCCAAAGTGGCACCAATAGTTGAATTTTGTGATACTTGAAACAATAAACTATGGGCTATTTGGGCCCATTTCTTTTCCAAAAATTGTTCCCGGACCCACCCAGCTCACACCGATAAGGAATACCTTCCGACACCCCTGAGTAGGGTATGTACAACGTTAGTTCAAGCATCCTTTGTTGAGAGGTTCCACTGTAAAAATACAATCAACGCCGTGAATCGCGACAGCATTCTCCTGCCCGGTCGAGGGCCGTTGTTTCCAGGGCTGACTGTACTATACATGTCTGTTCAGTTCACTACGTGATACTCCTAGTACAGGGTAACATAATGCTGAGCTGTATGCCCATTGATTAGAATGCCACGTAAAATGCCATACCAGATAGGCCTCACGTACCGTTGGGATGATTCCGGGCTCCGCTGGCGTACCGGACATGCCATACGTTTTGCCACTGCCCGTCTGCACTCACAGGACACACAGTGGACACAACGAGCATGACCTACAATCAAGATCAGTTGATTTAGCAAAAGCCTACAATGTTTGTGTGTACGTCTTCAAACAAAAAGAGACTTTCGACTGGTAAGAAGCAAAGTACGCACAAGTGACCCAGGGCAGCCACCCCATCATGTTTTTTGTTTGTTTTGTTTTTATACGAAAGTCCACTATATTCCCCGAATATGTGCGAGAAGTGGTGGCGGAGCCAAGCAGCAGGCTGCTCTGCCGACTTTAAAGGTCTCGGCGTCTACGCAAACAAAGCGCGCCATAATGCAGTAAAACCATGGGCAGTACATGACTTTTACTGTGCTGGGTCTCAGTAAGAAGGCAAACCGTTCGGAAAGTTGTAACTCGGCGCGAAATTGACAAATCCATACGAAAGTCTGTTGATCTGCAGTGCGTGCCAAGCCAACACAAGTAACCATGGCAACGACGCGAGACATGATATTGTACGTATGTGTACATGTCGTTATGTGTGTGCTGGTGGATACGCATGTGTAAAAGGTGGGTTTTCGACAAAAGTAGAAGAATGAAAGAGGAAGCAAGCCATTCTGGATTACAACAGATGATATCTGTTGTGATTCGTGTGTAGCGTACGCGTTGCTAGTCATCCTAATGCCATTGCTCTGTGCTGAGATTCTTAGCATATGCTCACCGCACATAGGGGCACGTATCAATTTGCGTAGATCACAGGTGTGCTTCGTACGTGTATGTGTGTACACCTGTCCGAGGGTGTTCGTGAGCACGTGTGTTGCCCATACTTTCCTATGCACACAGTGAAACTGAGCTCAGGCGCAGTGCGCAAACAAATAATGTAGCATATGCTGCAATGCAACTCAACTGTTACGGTTACTATGCTTTGCTCTATTGCCATTGCATATGTAAAGATCACAGGATCACACGATTCACTCGGACAGAGGACGAAGGCCAAGAGGTTTAATCTCAAGGTTCGACGGAAAGAGAGAGAGTGAAATGTCAAAGTCAGAGCTTATCAAGGGCCTGGGTAGCTATGGGCATGAATGTACTAGAGCGCGAATCCAGCTACCCAGGCCAACGGAAGAAAAGGTTAGAAAAGGGAACAAAGGTGAGTATGAGAGTAAAGGTGAGTACAAGTCTGTAAAGGTGAGTACGAGTGTGCGAGTGCGTACGAGTGCGTGCATATGTGAGATCGTGAACCTAACACATGGAGCAGACACCAGTGAATTCATCGTAACCAGATCAGGGGCGTCGGACACGCTACGGTCACTACGGTATTGCCCGTACCACTCTTTGTCCAAGGTACCCCGCGAATCAATAAAAGGCACCGATGAAGACTCGAGGTTTTCGAAATTTTTCAGAGGAGCCAGGAGTACTTCAAGGGGCTGACCGTACCACTCGAAAATACCTTCCGACGCCCCTGCTGAGATGGCAATGGTGAAGCCGGACTGTTCTGCTACCCGACAACACCCCTCTTCATCACAGAGAAGATCCTCCAGTGCCATGAGTTCATGCACGAACATCATTTCTTCCCCGAGCGATGCATACTAAACAGACTCCGGACCCCGAAATCACGGGCACTTCAGTCTACCGGGCGGCACCCTTTGGGCGAGTTTCAGTGGAAATATTACCACTCTTTTGTCACTTTTTGTGGATTTCGTGACGTCACATGCCACATCTATGGCCGTTCACCCATCAAAATGTATGTTGTTGTTTTATTCTTTTATTTCAATTCGCTCAGGGCACAGGCAATACTGCCTTCTCACCGAAGAGAGGATTCTCCGATTCCTACCAAAAACGAGAAATCTGCAATATGAATATGATTGTATGAGAAAGATAGTATGTGATTTGAAGTTACGGGCATTTCAAAGTTACGGGCAGGGCCCGATCCCGGACTGCCCGGATAAATGAGGTATGAGTGTATACTGCACCCGAATTGTTTTCACGTAATCTTACCTGACCATAGGCAAAGATCGTGGCGTTGTATCCATCCAGCGCCTTGTTCAGCAGCGGTGCCCCGAGGCTGTCGTAAATGGCGTCCTGTGCGGCACGCAACACAGGTCAAGACCAGTGAGCACTGCGTAACTTACTTGTAACAGACTCAGGGCCGGCGGACGGAGTTGTTGATTGGTCCAGCCATACCCTAGCCGCTCATACTTGTGTATGATATGGAGGGTACACATGACCTGGACAGCAGTGAATGTACGTTGGGGATCAAAATGTTGGTCCGACCACGGCCTGACCAACCGGCCCTGTTGTTATTCGCAAGTATTGAGTATTCCACCCGTCCCCACTGCACGATCAGTACTACAATTCGTCGCCTTCCTAGTTTTCCCGATACGTAGAGCAAGCCTTGAAGGCAAGGTGATCCGTACCCAAAGCTTGACCTACTCATCGGCAGAGCAGGCCAGCCCATACAGCATGTTGCTTGTCCTCGTCTTGATTTTGTAGGGTTGTGCATTTCAATAACAAAATAAGAAAAAAACATGGCATGCAAGTACTCCAGAAGATTAAGCCACACACACACACACACACACACACACACACACACACACACACACACACACACACACACACACACACACACACACACATACACACACACAAACACACACACACACTTGTACTTGTACTTGTTGCTCACTGCCAAAACTGGTCACGTGGGTCTCCCCGGGAGAGGGGAGAGAGACTCAAAAGGAATCTTGGAAAGATGACTCAATTGGCTATTGAACCGCCCAACGGCCGACACCCCCTGAAATCCCCAAAACTCTGGGTGGACTTGAAAATGATCCCACTTATGGGCTCACCACACCTCAGTAAGTGGGTGAGGACAAGGTGCAGAAAAAGGATTGACGGCATCAGGGTATCCGTCCTGGGATCCAACTGCAGAACCCCTGCCCCCAGTGAAGGTAATACTTGCTACTAGTGTGGGTGGCTAAATCAGAGTGGATCTGATATAAGCTTCACTAGCACCATTGATTACACAAGAGTTAATCTAGCCAGAAGCAGTTCATGGTTAAAGGGGAAGTTAAGGCAAAAATTAAAATTTCACCAGTTGTAGTCTTCGGGGTGCTGAGTCGAATGGTCTTGGTCCGAGAAAGCTGAGACGCTCCCTTCCTACTTGAATCCCAATCGAACTCGCGCACTTCCACCGAAACTGGGTGACTGCGCCCTACGAGATGGGGATTTGTATGCAAAATCTCACTAAAAGCGCCATTGCGTTCTTATAAAAGCACGGATGACCGCGATTGGCCCATATGTTGTAGTCTTTTGGACGCTGAGTCGACTGGTTTTGGTCCGAAAAGGCTGCGATGCAGCGTTCCTCCTTTATTCCCAATCGAACATGGTTGAAGAAGCGGTCACGTGCTCCTGGGTGCCCAAATCACCTGGTCACCACGCCAGCAGGCGACAACTTTCACACCAAGGTTCAACTCGAGTTCAACTCGAGTGACAGGACTGCACCCAAAAAAGGTCAAACAGGCTAGTAAGTTGTACCCTGCAGGCACGGTGACCAGGTGACTGGTGTACGCAGCAGCACGTGAGCACTTGTTCGACCATGTTCGATTGGGAATAAAGGAGGAACGCTGCTTCGCAGCCTTTTCGGACCAAAACCAGTCGACTCAGCGTCCAAAAGACTACAACATATGGGCCAATCGCGGTCATCCGTGCTTTTATAAGAACGCAATGGCGCTTTTAGTGAGATTTTGCATACAAATCCCCATCTAGTAGGGCGCAGTCACCCAGTTTCGGTGGAAGTGCGCGAGTTCGATTGGGATTCAAGTAGGAAGGAAGCGTCTCAGCTTCCTCGGACCAAGACCATTCGACTCGGCACCCCGAAGACTACAAATGGTGAAATTTTAATTTTTGCCTTAACTTCCCCTTTAACAGGTATGTATACTTCAAATAGAAAGTATATGAACCCTGGAACCAACAAACACACACACACACACACACACACACACACACACACACACACACACACACACACACAGACATGCCCATGGCGAAGCGATGATAGCGAACAGCTATGTTAGACATAGCAACTTGTAATTCTTTGTTACCATCTTCAATAGGTCCGTCAAACACAGTAGTAATAGGTTTTTCATTTGACCCGACGAGACCACACGACGCTTGCAGATCACAGCACGAACAGTTCACCAGCCACACTCCACGAAAGCAAGTAGTAGGAGAGGTACACAGGAATAGGTTGCGCTAGTTTACACGTCACAAATGCTAGCTGCACAAGACAAATACTTCACAAACCTCGATAATTGAAATTCAGCCAGCGGTATAGGTGAAAGGAAGGCTGCTGGGTGTGACATGGAACTGTGGGCTGCTGAGGCGACGTATCCATCTTGATCTTGACTGCAGGGTTGATGATTTGTTGGCTGTCACTTGGCGTCTACTTTTCACCAAACTTCGTCACTACCTCAGTACCATTTGTGACGTGTAAACTAGCGCAACCTATTCCTGTGTACCTCTCCTTCTCATTGTGCATGATTTAGCACTTGTGAAAGTTGCGTCTGGTAGGGTTCAGAACACCTCCATTCTGCACTATTCCTTTTGTGTTGATATGTCACATATGTGAGTTAGTTGAGTGTTTACACCTCAGTGCGCCAATATCTTTTCTATAAAATAGCATTATTCAGCTAAACCCCTTCATTCAACAACTGCTTCTCCTCTGATGAGTTCCCCGTTATTATCTCTATGGAACGAAACAAGACTTGTCAGGAATACTACTACTTGCTTTCGTGGAGTGTGGCTGGTGAACTGTTCGTGCTGTGATCTGCAAGCGTTGTGTGGTCTCGTCGGGTCAAATAGAGGGCCTGCAAGCCTTTAAGTGCCGTGTCCACCGTCACCTCCAGCTGCACCACTGGAGCTGCGCGACTGAGAGCCTCTAGCAGACCTCTCACACCCACCTCAGCCGTAGTGCACACACCGCGTCTGAGACAGTGTCTTTATTGAAGTTTTTTCGCTAGCTTATATACTCTCCCTCGCTCTATGTTGCGGCACAGTAGCTCCCTTGTTCATGTAATAACTGGCCTACTGTAACAATTATGACTTTGCTGGCCAAATAGCTGAGGCTGCAGTCACCTCACCAATCATCTCATATTTTCAATGTTCCTTTTATTAATTTTTACTTTAACAATTTCGCAACCTCTCTCTCCCCCCCCCCCCTCTCTCTCTCTCTCTCTCTCTCTCTCTCTCTCTCTCTCTCTCTCTCTCTCTCTCTCTCTCTCTCTCTCTCTCTCTCTCTCTCTCTCTCTCTCTCTCTCTCTCTCTCTCTCTCTCTCTCTCTCGCTCTCGCTCTCCTCCCCACCCACTCTTGGTGCGTCTAGGTGGCTATGAAGTCGAGACCCTAGGTCGGCGGAGCTCCCTAAACCTCACCACCACTGCCACGATTCAGGTTGTGCGTGCTTCCCCTAGCTGCATCTCATGTTTGGCATTAAGTGGTCTTTGTAAAAAAAAAAAAAAAATGAAAAACCTATTACTATAGCAACTTGTGCTGGGATTACACCATTCAACAGCTTGCAAGGCTGATGAGTTGATCGCCACTATTTTTAGCCGTAGGAAAAAGTCACACACACACACACAAACAGACACACACACACACACATTGGAGAGCTCAGAGAACGATGGTTACATGTTTAGAAGTATTATTTGAGGCCCCTATCAGACTACAGACTATGTTCACTGCAACCCAAAGGGACATTGATTGAACACTACACTTTCAGCTTACTGTCTTTGCATCCCAGAAGTAGCAATAGTCGTAGAAGAACTCTTTGTCCTGGGAGCAAGCACACCAATGAGTGAACGTGACGAGCACACACACACACACACACACACACACACACACACACACACACACACACACACACACACACACACACACACACACACACACACACACACACACACACACATACACACACACACACACACACACACACACACACACATACACACACACACACACACACACACACACACACACAAATGCAATGAGTGTCACAGTGATGGACATACACAAATGCAATGAGTGTGATGGACGCACACAGGTGCAATCGGAATGCGATGAGCAAACATGCACCAGTCCCACTGATCTAGGAAACCACACGCAGTTTCGGTGCAGCCCCTGCTCAGTGAGTTGTCACATTTGTCCTAGTCTCAGTACCATTATCTTTCATTGTTATTTTCGAGCTGGGTATGTGAACATAGTCAAACAAATTCAGGCAACACCGTGCAGCATGTCCTGTATGGTAACAGCACGGCCTGTTCTATCAATACTACATGCACACCATGGCAAATACCAACCCATGATGACGCCGCAGAATTGAAGACACACATATGGACAGTAAATAGGCACCTGATATATCAGGCCGCAATTAATTTCAAACACAAGCGCCACCATGCTATGGGAGTAGTGGTAAGTTACTCGAAACTCTCGCACCTAGACCATCTCTTCGCTACGAACAATGCATCGAAACATTTCACCATTTAACTTTATTTAAGACAGCACTGATAAGCATGGATCCGTTATACCTTGTGTTGTCCGCTGCCGCCCGGTGCCGGGTTGTGTATGGTGACCTTCTGGCCACTCATCTTGATCACGCGCGTGCTGCCCTGCGCCTTCTCCGCATCTGGAGGTTCAGGGTGCAGTGCGAAGGAAAGAGAGAGTAACTCAAGAAGAAGATGATTGAAGGGCGAGATACAAATTTAGAGGCCCGTGATATCCACAGCACATTATACACATGAAACAGGCCACACATACTCAATACAGCCATCCCCGATTGATCCAGCGCTTCATACACCGGTAACCTCGATAAGCCTGCACAATTTCTAGGAACCAAAACATCCCATTGCAGCAATACAAAATACAACATTAAGTCAGGCAGCTTGATAAGTTGACAGAGTACAATCGTCCGCCGAAGAACTGGGTTAGGGTATCAGCTTTGTAGCTGAGGCCGTTCCTAATTTTCACACACTGCAGTCTATGCACAGTCGAGTCGCCGCATGTGGATCGGCACGCTGTACTTCACGAAATCCTAGCCTATTCGCTTCTCGGCGCATTCATCCGCATCCGTCAGTACTGTACCAAACAGAACAAGACTGTTTACCTACTTTTTCTGTATGTATCATTCAGAGGGTTAATGTGCTAGACACCGTTCACACTCCGTGACCAGACAAATACAAAATGAAACTCTATTTGAAGCAGCCGGGGATTGAACAGAATGAACAGTAATGTACTCGCATACACGCGGAATTCTACAGAGGTTTTACAAGTCGAAGAGCCCAGTTCATGGGTGAGAATTCTACTACTGCTTGTCTCATGCTCGTGTGAGGGTGTGAACAGTCTCTAATATCCGGACTCAAACCGATAAGATGTGCCGTGCATGTGTCAGGGTTGGGTGAAAACTCATGCAGTTACTCCAGTCAGTGTGCAATGCTGTACGTGTGTGTGTGTGTGTGTGTGTATGTATGTGTGTGTATGTGTGTGTGTGTATGTGTGTATGTGTATGTATGTATGTGTGTGTATGTGTGTGTATGTGTGTGTGTGTATGTGTGTATGTGTGTGTATGTGTGTGTGTGTGAAAGTGGCATGCTGCCATCGCCAATGACGAGGATATCGGTATCCAGCCGTCGCAGTTCCGCAGACTGCTTGTTTAATTAATACATGCCTCAGAGAGTGTCGCAGAGTGACTATAACGGAGTGTCAGTTTGCGGACGATTCGTCACTGTTCGCTAACACCTACGGCGGTGCTGAAAGGGCCTTGGCCACGTTTCAAGAGGTTGCAGCATCGTTTGGCCTGTCAGTCAATCTGGGCAAAACTAAGTTCATGCCTATGGGCGTTGGTGTGGTGGCGTCGGATATGTTGCCTTTGGGTGGAACCGTTGAATGCGTGGACAGCTTTCACTATCTTGGCTGCCAGATTACTCCTGATGCTAGGAGTAGCTTTGATGTCTCTCGCAGGATCGCCGCAGCTTCGGGTGCATTTGGCACCTTGAAGAAGGCTGTGTTTGCGAACTCAGAGTTCCCCATCGGTCTCAAGTGTGTTGTGTACGGAGTCACTGTGCTGGCGGTACTCCTGTATGGTGCTGAGAACTGGACACCGAGGCAACGGGATCTCAAGCATCTGGAGCCGTTCCACCTGCGATCTATACGCATGGTCCTGGGCATCAATCGGGCGCGCCAGATGGACGAGCATGTGTCAACCCTTCAGGTACGGCAGTGGTGGGGAGACATGGAGTTGGTCTCTGACAAGGTCCGGCGCCGTCGTCTCCAATGGCTGGGCCACCTGGCTCGCATGGATGACCGTATTCCCCGCCAACTGCTCTTTGGTGCCTTGCCGTCTAAACGACCTCCACATTGCCCCCGGAAGAGGTGGAAAGACCCAGTCAAGCATGAACTGGTGGCGGTGTCCATTGGCATGGATGAGTGGCTTGACACAGCAGGTGATAGGTCTGTGTGGAGAACCAGGTGTCAGGATGGAGTTTACAGCGTGGTATTCACTCGTGTACAGCCTGCCGTGAAGCCACTCCTGTGTATGGTCTGCACACACCGTTTCAGCCGTCCTCAAGACATCGCTAGACATAGCTGCACCTCCCGTCGCTCCCCAAAAGCAAAAAACAAACAGTGAAACAGCCGTTCACGTCACGCCGGACTCGCAGTGCCTCATGCCGCGTCCCGAAGCCAGCACTCCTTCAAGTCGCCCCCGTTTGGGGACACATAGCCAATCGTGGCAGTGGGCGAAGGAAGGAAGGTGTGTGTTTGTGTGTGTGTGTGTGTGTGTGTGTGTGTGTGTGTGTGTGTATGTGTGTGTATATGTGTGTGTGTATATGTATGTGTGTATGTGTGTATGTGTGTGTGTGTGTATGTGTGTGTGTATGTGTGTGTGTGTATATTACGTATGTGTGTGTGTGTATGTGCATGTAGGTGTTTGTGTGTGTGTGTGTGTTTACGTGTGTGTATGTGTGTTTGTCTGTATGTGTGTGTATGGGTGTGTGTGACTGTGTGTGTATGGGTGTGTGACTGTGTGTGTGTGTGTGTGTGTGTGTGTGTGTGTGTGTGTGTGTGTGTGTGTGTGTGTGTGTGTGTGTGTGTGTGTGTGCATGGCGGGGTATGCATGTGCGTGGTGGGGTGTGTATGTGCATAACATACCGTTGAATGGCCGGCATCTGATAGCAACCTGGACATTACTGGCAGTCGCCTGATGAGTCCCTCCACTGGCCTAGAGGAACACACATGAGCATGGGAGCAGTATGCGCATACACACACGCACACACACGCGCACGCACACACACACACACACACACATGAAAACACGCACCTACACAAAATCATGCACACCAACACGTTCACACAAGCTTGAAAGCTCGCGCACAGCGAACAGTGGCCCTGCATGGTAATACATACACGTTTGAGACCGCTAGCTACAAAGGCTTCATTCATCTGCACCGTTAGTTTGTACGAAGGGCGTTCCATCTCCATTTCAGAGCATAGAAATACTTACCATTTTGACCTCTTCAATGAAGTAATGAGACCGTCAATGAAGTACTTAGATCTTCAACACCTCGACAGACTCAGTGGTCCACCACGACGAACAGAGTGGGGCAGGTCGCTGGAACTACTCAGCGCATTGCGGTTCTCAGGAACCGTGCTGACTTTCTGGAGAGGAACCGATAAATTTTGAAGATGGCTGAACCACTGGCGCACAGTCCCAACCGTGATATGAACAACTATGTTACTTTGCGACACTACACTCTACAGTGCTACTTGTAAAGAGGACATTGGCCTAAGCTGAAGTCTGCATGAAGTCCAGGACGCTGACATCGATCTCGATCTCTGCTGCAGAAGCATCATGCGCTTGTACAAGCTAGGCGAAATCGTGGTCATTCGTCTTCATGTTGTCATGTTCGTCATCATGGTCATCGGTATTGACAATGACTATGATTGTACAAAGATCTACATCATGATACTGACATCTGTCTAGACAGACTAGTACATAGTGATTAGTGTCTAGTGTCGTAGTGATAGTGATACACAATCCTACACAGTTGCAAGGGCAAGTCGCTCTGATGATTGATTGATTGATTTTATTTTACTTCGCAAGTTCAAACGGGTTCCTGGCCCAGTTATATGAAAGCGAAGGGATCGATTCTGAGTAAGCACTGATACAAGTACAGTAGATCTACGTGGCAGGGAGTCGACCCTACGTAGATCTACTATCTGGTAGATCTACGGTGCTGGCATGGCAACTGAAATCCGACCCCCTAGCGGTGCGCTAGCCGCGTTAGCGATTCGTACGAGACGCTAGGGGGTCGGATTTCAGTTGCCAGCACTGTACACATGGTACATGACATTGTAGCAAGAGTATAATAACCCCCCTGGGGGTAGTCTCAGTACAATCTTGTTTTATTTTTGCGCTGTAGTGTAGAGCTAGCTAGAGAGATAGTTGTACTTCAACCCCTGTCTTGTAAGTTAGTTGTAGTTGTACTTGTAGAGTGTAGTTCACCGCGCGTTTTTTAAAAAAATTTTTTATATTTTTTTACAGAATGCTCCTCCTACTGATAGTGATAGACCATAACAAAGAGAGGATAGGAGAAGAAGAAGACAAAAGAAAATAATGATCGAGACAACAAAGGAGAAAGACAGACAATGTACTAGTAGGGGCTCTCAGGGAGCCTGTGCCGGTGAGGCGGGACTAGCAACGCCGACCTAGGGTCTCGGCGTTAGCGCTATCCAGCGCACCATGGACGGGATTATTTATTTATTTTTATTTTATTTATTTCTGCACCTCGTGGCATGTTAAGACAGCCAATTGAATAGATGACTTGCATAAAGATTGTCTGGGTTCAAGACGGGGCAAGTGGACCTTCTGACTCTGACTTCCCCACCTTTTGAGTTCGTGACTTTCGAAGTTTCGCTTTTTGCCTGACGAACACTGAGCTAGTTTTTTTGGCTAGAGAGTAGAGTTGTTTTGATTCGGCTTGTATCGTCATGCCGAAGCGCTGCTACGCTCCTGAATGCACTAGCAGACGAGAGATGGAACTGAGGCTCCCATTCCATACGTTCCTTTCCGAGCCGGCCGGCCGGGAGGCAGAAAAATGAGGGAATATTATTATTTTTAGTATCATTGGTGTACTGAGGCTGCAACAAGCACGTCGTGGTCCTGAAGTGTGACTACTTTCCCGCAGTGGAAGCGAAGTCAAGCACAACGAAAGTTTGTGGACGTCTGAGAAAGAACTCGATTCCCTTTGATTCGGCTGCACTAGCTCCAGAGCGACCCTCTCCTGAGGACAGACTGCGGAGAGGCCAGGAACCTGCCGAGTCTCGAGTGGAAGCCCAAACCACGAAAATGAGGGGTGGAAGGACTGAGTGTGAGAGCCAGATGGCCTTTAGTAGTACTTCAAGTAGTATCTGAGTTGAAGGAGAGAACCGTTGAAGTGTGCTGGAGAAACGCTGCGAGGTCCTCAGGCCTGATGTGTACTAGCTACTGTTGAAGTCTCACTTGTTCCGATATGAACACTTCATCAGCCCTGACTCTGAGCAGCTGTATCTAGACTTGGACTTAGGCCAGAGACATAGCATTGTAAACCTTACTGAAGCCATAATATGTATCCAATGCCTGGCTCTAGTGAGAAAGCAGTTTGGCGCAGGCTCGCAAACTATGATTGACTGATCAGGAAGTGGTGGAAAGTCACATTATACCTCCCCATGATTAGCTGTTAAAGGGGAAGTATACCCTAAAATCAAATTTTCACCAGTTGTAGTCTTCTGGGTGCTGAGTCGAATGGTCTTGGTCCGAGGAAGCTGCGACGCTCCCTTCCTACTTGAATCCCAATCGAACTCGCGCACTTCCACCGAAACTGGGTGACTGCGCCCTACTAGATGGGGATTTGTATGCAAAATGTCACTAAAAGCGCCATTTCGTTCTTATAAAAGCACGGATGACCGCGATTGGCCCATATGTTGTAGTCTTTTGGATGCTGAGTCGACTGGTTTTGGTCCGAAAAGGCTGCGATGCGGCGTTCCTCCTTTATTCCCAATCGAACATGGTTGAACAAGTGGTCACGTGCTCCTGGGTGCCCAAATCACCTGGTCACCGCGCCAGCAGGCGACAACTTTCACACCAAGGTTCAACTCGAGTTCAACTCGAGTGACAGGACTGCACCCAAAAAAGGTCAAACACGCTAGTAAGTTGTACCCTGCAGGCACGGTGACCAGGTGACTGGTGTACGCAGGAGCACGTGACCGCTTCTTCAACCATGTTCGATTGGGAATAAAGGAGGAACGCTGCATCGCAGCCTTTTCGGACCAAAACCAGTCGACTCAGCGTCCAAAAGACTACAACATATGGGCCAATCGCGGTCATCCGTGCTTTTATAAGAACGAAATGGCGCTTTTAGTGACATTTTGCATACAAATCCCCATCTAGTAGGGCGCAGTCACCCAGTTTCGGTGGAAGTGCGCGAGTTCGATTGGGATTCAAGTAGGAAGGGAGCGTCTCAGCTTCCTCGGACCAAGACCATTCGACTCAGCACCCCGAAGACTACAACTGGTGAAAATTTGATTTTAGGGTATACTTCCCCTTTAATGACGACTGGGTTTCATGGGAAAGTAACTTGCATACCTGTTTAGTTGCAACGAGGCAACGGTACCCCATGTACTGAAGACATGATTGAACTACATTTTATCTCCTGGAAGAATGTGGAACAAATAATGCCAGAGTGTGTCTGATACACATCACAGTCTGCTGAGTATGTTCATTATTGTGGACGTAACAGAACTGCGCTGTGAGGTACCTTCTGGGTTACACCTACAGTTGAGCCACTACTCTTCTTACAAATTCCATACAACGGTGAAAGGATTTGTTGGAGCATCATCAAACAGTGCGTTCGCCTTCATCATACACTGGCTCCGTTGCCTACAGTAATTCACATTTTGACGGGGCGCGCTGGGACGATACGGAAGGAGCGGCGGGAACCATTGGAGTGCTCATGATGCTGGTTCAGCGGAGACGGATGTGTCAGGAACGGGAACGCAACCGCACTACTGTACAGATCAGGAAGCGGTGGAAGAGTTGAATCTGTTCAGCCTTCCATGCCGTGTACAGAGACACAAGCGTAAAAATCGCTACATTTCGAATGTGAACTGGCGATGGCATTGTGTGGCGACGAACACAACTGCAACTGTTCAAATTTCAGCATTTCGAACATTATGCTTCCCATGATAACTCACCGAATGGCTCACATGACGGAGTTGGACATTACCAGGCTAGGATTATCATTTGCTGTATTTATGGATAGTCCTTGAGTTTTCAGATGAAGTGCTTTATCTTTTACCTGTCGTTCCTTTAGTATGGCACAATGTCCATGGCTGCTTCCTAGTCTTCATAACAGACTGGTATAATCAGCATGATTCTGCTTTATTTGAGAAGAAATAAAACTTTCCTTTCGGAAAGGAAGCCCAGAAACGTCAACCCCCATGGACTGTGCTTCATGACTCTCGTCCATCGACGTTAACCGTCGCAATAACTGCTGCATGTATGTTGTGCTGTGCGAACCGTACAAGATTTTACAGCTCACCCACGCCTTCCCAACAGGCTCCTATATCCCGTACCGTTAGCGTTACATTGAATATGAACTAGGCTAGCACAGTTATCCTTTCGTTCTTTTGATGGCGGCGGGTAGCATGGAACTTGACGTGTTCTTGGGATCCTCGTGCAACACTTGCTGTTCCCGGATGCCATATTATTGGGTGCATCGAGGTTGCTTCTATGCTCACTGTTGTTTAGTATTGAAGACAATTTTTTTATAACTATTTCACCGAAGAATAAGGCAAGAGTATTTTTGGGTTGGTTTGGACGCCTGGCTTCTCTTCACACAATATACAGTCATGTACTTCCACTAACCCTACAAGTGCACATGACTCATGAGCTGCTGAAGACAGTGACGGTACTGATCATGTACATGTCATGTACATGCCGTGCACCGTTCATTCATGCTGACAAAAAAAAGTACACTACAGACGCATGTAGGGTGCCCGCAGTGTAGCCTGGGTGCACTTGCCCCGTCTCACTCGCGGCTCGGATCTTTGTGCAAGTCATCTATTGAGGAGAGGGTGAGACCAACCACGGAAGAAGAGAAAAAAAGAAAATGAAGAGCACGTACACAAAGTGGGAAGGGATTAGCAATTACGAAACACATGTAAAATAGATAAGTGAGGGGGAGGGAGTTGATTGTGGGTATATGGGGTGTTACAGTGAGTCTGTAGCGGCTTTGTCGTAGGTGCTGATGCGCCTTGCCCTTGAACGACTGGAGGGACGTCAGGCGTGGCGGAGACTGCAGCACATTTGGGGGCAAGTTGTTCCACTCGTCAATGATGCTGTAGGGGAAGCACCGTCACACGTAATCAGGAGAGGAAGCCGGGAGGACGTTCTGTAGCTGAGACTCGTGGCGCACCGAGTGGTCGGACCGAGTTCGAGGACATGTTCGTGGAGGAAGCTGCGGGGGGACCAGGAACGTTAGTTGCGGTGGCCCTGCCAGACACATCAGTTTATACGTATAGCTGAGGGCGGCGACCAATCTCCTTGCTGCCAAACTCTGGAGGAGGACATCAGGGCCAAGAATGTGGAGGGCGCGTCTCTGCACTCGATCGAGAAGGCGCAGATGGCTTGAAGCTGCTCCCAGCGTGAGTAGTGTACTGACGCGAGTGACGGTAGATCTACCAGGACCGGTCTGTTGTCTGTCTGTTGTCACATTCTTCATTGCTGAACCCCTAAATAATAATCGCAAATCATTCGTTCGAGGGAAAAGAAAAGGAAGAAGAAGAAGAAGAAATGGTTATTGTACCGGTCTGTTAGACCAGGGAGTCGTGCAGTGAAACCCCCAGCTTTTACTACTCCCTGGATTTTCCGGTCGACATGGGCTCGTACGAAAAATCCCGGGAGTCAAGATTGGGGCGAAAATTGCCTGGTGTGGGCGGTGTTGTCGTACAGTTTTCGGGAGCAACACCAGGGATTTGTCCATTCCCGGTACCCAGGTGTGTAGCCCCTGGCAAGGCTCTCCCACAGATTCCAGTACAAAGGCCACGGCCAAGTGTCCCACTGAGATGCGGTAGCTTACGAAGAGCATAGCAGCCTGTGACGTTTGTCCTTTTATGAAAGAAAATCCGCAAAAATACCGGTAGATACCTAAGGCTAAGCTTGTCTCTTTACTTGGCTTTATACTATTATCATGATTATAGTGACTAAGTCCTACCCTTTTCCATGTTTTCTGACATGACAGATCTGCGAGACTGTGGCGATTTTCCTATTTTCGGCCAAGTATCGACTGGTCGATATTTTGCGAAAAGCCGGCCGATCTTTAGTGCTTGCCCGTGATGGTGCGCATGCGGCATCGGACCAATCAGTGTAGTGTAGGCTTTTCACCATGACAGCGGAGAGCGTCGGTGCAGACTGCGAACTGGCTGCACTGGATCGCTACTAGTACTAGTACAGTAGTAGTAGTACTACACTACTAGACGCCTTAGCTTAGGGCTAGGCCTAGTAAGTAATTAGTTAGTTGTAGCTCTTGTAAAAACTATCTCTTTTCCACTGTCTACAATGTAGCGTCTACCACGGTCTAGCGTGGCTGTGTGTGACCAGCTAGTCTGACTCATATCATCCGACAAAGTCGGTCGATTTCTTGTCGGAGTCGGTGTGGGAGAATTGGCCGGAAAATCGGCCTAGTGTGAACCAGGCATTAGATCATGAAAAGTAGGGAGTCGTGAAACCGACCCTTTACAACTCCCTGGTGAGAAGCCAGGAAAATACTACCCTCCAGTCCTAGAAAATATTTCGTAATGGCGACCGCTGCTAAAGAAATAGAGGAGGACCAAGCCATGGCTGGTTTGAAGTGTGCTTCGTGTGATCAGCCACCACGGGACGGTAGGCTGATTCGATGTCTGCACACGCTGTGTGCGCTGTGCGTTGAACCACATATCAAAGACGACAACACCATTCATTGTCCAAACTGTGCCGAAATCACGCCCTCTCCAGGACAAGGACGATCTCAATTGCAATCGCTACCCAGAGCTTATTGCCCTATCGAGAGCAGTGCTGGTGTGGATGCATCTGCCTCCTATTCTACCAGATCTGCACGTGTTGTGTGTGAGGAATGTGATGAGGAAGAAGCAGCTACGTTCAAATGCCATGACTGCTCCATGCTCTACTGTACGGATCATGGCAAGGGTCACCTCAAGTCCAAATCCACCAAAAGTCACAGAACTGAGCGTATTTGTGAAGACGCAGCAACCAGCAGCAACAGATCAGAGCAGACATCTGATTCTCATACACCTAGGTGTCCTCTTCATCCTACCTCAAGCTTGGAGTGGCAGTGTGTCCTATGCAAAGAGTTCCTGTGTGAAAGATGCCGGGTTACCAGCAAAAGGCACGTTTGCCACCTTAACCGAGTTCTGACAATAGCGCATGCTGCTCGGGATGCACGCACAGCATTACAGAAGAAAGCATCGGATCAAGCGTCAAATGCTCTAACCAAGATTGGCCAAGCCCACACAGCTGCAAAAGCTGCAAATGAAACCATCGATAATGCCCATAAAGCCATGTCAACTGAGATTCAGGAGCAGTTTAGCAAGCTGGAAAAGGTGTTGGAAGAGCGCCGTGATGAGTTGCTGCAAGCAGCTCATCAGAAGTACTGGCAACAGTCCAGTGTTGTGGAACGTCACGTTGAGAAGTTGAGACGAAAGAAGGCGTGCCTCACACGCACTCAGGGTTTGTTGGAGGACAACGTGGCCGATTCCGACTTTCTACGCCTTGAACCCTGGCTGCTGGATGCATTGTCTGAGTCAGAGACTGATGTGCCCTTGGCCATGTTAACTCCTACCACGCCATGGATCAGTGTTCACGGCTTTGACAAGCTCGCTCAGAGCCTACGTAAGGTGGGAGTCTTTGCAGAAGACACACACTACAGCTTCAGTCGTACACAGTATCGTCACCGTGATCTGGTGTTTTCAAATGCTGACTGCACATTGAAACGAGTGACAGGCGGTATATTTCAAAGTGCCTGCATGTATCCGTTCATCGCCGAAGGAGCAGTTGCAACAACACGTGTGAGAGTAGGTGATATGGCTGAGTATCTGTGGATTGGTGTTTGTGACCCGTCACGGTTCGAGAATGGGCAGGAAAGACAGGCATATGAGGTGTCAACTTGGGGAGACGACACGGCTGCGATGCCTTTCAAAAAGGCTGATACTGTCTGCTTGATGGTGGACCGTCAGCGCAAAATCCTGTCGCTGCACAATGAAACATCTGGCAAGAAGTGGACTGCAAAGTCTGAACTATGCGAGACAGGAGTGTTGGCATTCTACGTGAAAACACAAAACTCAGGTGTGGGTGTGACAATTCTCCAACCATGACTACTCAATCCAGCTTGTCACTATCAGTAATCAGTTTATAGCTGCCTCCACTTGGCTACCGCTCATATGCTGCAGCTGTGCTTCTAAACGTCTCTGTCCTTATTATGACTGTCCGCTTAGCCCTCACTTTGACTGAAAAGTCGACTGAAAAGTCTCTGTTTCAACAAGATTTTGTTTTAAAACTGTGTGCTTCCATTTCGGAGTTTTGGTTTCTGTCAACCAAGGGAAGACCGTTCAAGTGCCATACAACAATGCCTTTCAAGCTATTATTTTTCATCGCTGAGTTTCATGCATTGTCAGACATTGCGTTAGTTTCAATATATAATGTGTTGATATCTGCGAAACGAGATTGGGCACTCCTGATGCGATTTCATGTACTTGCACGCCACCTGCTTTGAGAAATCAATAACACCTTATGAGCTTCAGTCATCTCTTCTTAGTATTTCTAACAATTCCAGTGTAATTTTCTTCAGACTTAACCCGTTTGCATCTTTCCCTAAATAAAATAATAATAGTATTCGCGGCATCCGCGCCAGCATCGCTTGAATGTTCTTTCCCTCAAACCAATGAAAATTCCAGTGTCCCCGACCTTTTCTTTTTAGACAGTTTTGACATGTTTTCCTGTCTAACGAAAGATGTCAATGTGCCAAAGAGTACTAGTAATGAAGAGTTGCAATGCTAGTTTCAGCACTGTAGCTAACTGACTTGGGCATGCTCAGTGAAAGTGACATTTTGTGTTAAACACCAATGTGACACCGAGATGAATGTTATAACTCAAAACTCTGAAGACAACTTGGTGAAAAGGAGACCTCGTCAGATTATCATAAGAGGACAGTGTCAGGGAAGTGTGAAATCAGTTCGGAGGGAGATGTGAATTCTCATTGCCAATATCTTCCCCACTCTCATCACCGCTGCTGGAGAGGGCACTGTCGTCCATCTGCCGTGATCCGCAGTGTCGCTGAGCCGTATGTGCCTGCTGTAGGCAGTGCATAGCTGTTACCTGACGGATGCTGGCTTTTCGCCAGGCTGCATGCTCGTCGTGTACGCCCGGCTGTACGGACGTGATGACACGCTGCGCTGACGCCATGCCCATACTCGCATACTCTGTCAACGCACGTCTGCAAGAACCAAGAGCAGAGAACACCACCACACCACCAGAAGGACTAAGTATGGTGATTGAATACTGTGAATAGACTGCTCAGAGTCATGGTGACGTCATATGCCCACTCACATCATTATGATGTCATGCTCAGTGTCGTGATGATGTCGTCTGTACACATTTAACGGGCAAAATGGGTGCCTGCGGCAACGGGAGTTCACCTTAAGGCTCATCAGGGACAACTGTTGTGTTTAGACAGTGTGCAGAGTTCAAACATGCCAGCTAATTAGATAAGTAAAGAAAGGGGAAGCTTTGCGAAAACGAATTGTACAAGCCGAAAGCCAAACTCCTACAGTACTCCTCATGCATGACATTGTGATGGACAAGTTGACTGCAAAACAAGTTGTAACAAGTTTCTTTACTTATCTTTGATATTTATGACCCACTCAAGTTGGGTGGTGTGCTGCTTTGCTGCTTCGAATTGTAGTTAGACCCCTTTGTCAAATATCGTACTGGTCTCGTCATCGTCCAGTAACAATCGACATTCTTTGTTTCGTTGGGACTGTAGCTTTTGCTCGTTTTCGTTGCGCTTGCCTTCCCCTCTTTGGTATTTCCATAACCTTGAACCTTCCAAGTTGGAAGGCTGTCAGTTAGCACTACGGAGATGTGTTGAAGCTAGGTGTCAGGACGTCGAATGTCTCAGTACTCTTGTCAGTTTTGTGCCTAGTTATTGCACTTTCTGACTGTATATAGTATCCAGTTACAGTGATGGAGAGTTACTCTTAGCTCGTATCCATATGTTCTTTTTTTAAAATATTCTTTTCAGTATAATAATCTTCTCCTTCTTTTACCATGGTTGGCTATCACCCACATCTTCCCGTTTTGGCTGCCATCGGAAGCCATAAGATGTTGAATAAATAAATAAATAAATTATGACATCATTCTTGCTATTCACACTCACGGTCTAACAGTCATGTAGTCATCAGCATTGTCATCGCCACCATTGCTTGCAGCAGCCAGTACTGTCCTGGACATGGCTGGGTCAGCGTACACATTCTCAGAGTCCTTTGAGCTAGGCTCCTTTGGTCGTGCTAAGAACCTACATGGTGAGTTATGGGAAATAAATAACAGCAAGAACACATGGGAGGTTAACAACAAGAACACATGGGGTTCTGTACTCATGGTAACAGGACGTTCACCAGATGCAGTAAACAGTATGTACATATAAATAGTCATGGCCCCACACTCCACAACATAGGTTGTGCACTTCAAAATTCGAAACTGGTGTGGATGCAGTGGAAATGTGGATCCCAATCATGCTGCTCTTTACCCAACAAGCACGTGCCACTATAACCTGAACATCCTGCTTTAGCAATGGCCTTGCTCAGCTCACAGGGTCATGCAGTGCTCAGTCTTGGAATGACCTACCATTTAGACTGGCGATCTTTTAGAGCGGTAAAGGGACAAACTGTTCAAGTTCAGGTAGGGCAGCGATTCACTAATAACAAATTACCTGCATGACTAGACTATAGTCATCTTCAGCCCAACTTGAACATTTCGTGGAAATCATACATGATTGACTCAAGCATAGTGCCCATGCTTCATCCTCCAAACATCACACTGAACTACCTCATATCTGCCATCCAGCATAGATGGCATTGGCCGTAAATCATTTACTTCGAAGTACTTCGAAGTACAAATAATTACAGTTTACTGGAGGAGTCAGTCAAACTTATCCACATCTGTAGGAATTCCACCACCCTTTAAATTAGTCAAGACCATAGAAATTGTCCACATTTTCACCCAGGCGGGTATCATCAGGGATATACAGGGGCGGATGCAGGATTTTTCCAAGGGGGGTTCAATTTTTTCCCACCCTACCCACAATGACGAAATGTTGACATACACATGTATAACAAGTTAGTTCACACGTTCGCGTTATCGGTACAGCACCAATTAATTATGGCAGCCCACATGTACTGTATATTGCATCCTGTACTTGAACATGCCAGCTACTATACAAATGCAACTTCAGTAGCCCTATTTTTCAACACTCTAGTAGATCTACTCTGCAGCTAAACATTATTGAAGATACACAGCACAAGGAAGAAATTTTCAATTTCTTTGCCGCAGAATAACTGATTGGTACTTTCTCGATCTCCAGCAGCTCGTCTGTAATAATTGTCCGTAATATTGTACTCCGAGCCGCCCGATGTTGACTCCACTGTACAGTAGGTTCCACAAGGCAGGCTTCCTGCATCTTTCGTGTCTCAGTCATAATTGTGCCCGGTTCGGAGAAATTTTGATTATTGGATGATGGGACGTGAACTTGAAGGTGATTTTCAAAGTTTCGCTCTTTGTTTTACCTTCGACACTAGTGGCTACACTTTTCTTTGGAGTGTCACCAAAAATCAATGGCAGCTGGTCTTGAGCATGCCTCTTTTAGACGCTTCAACGAACTCTAAGACAGCTCAAAAAGCACGAGCCGCGACGACAATTACAGCACTGCACGGCCACTGTTCAGAAACTAGTATTTGAAACTCTTTCGAAGTTTCCGCAGCAGCTCAACAAATGCATGCAGCTCTTTTTCCGAAGCGAACGCGTAGCTGTACATTCAGTGCAGAGCTACTTTACTTCGTATTATTATCTACGTACAAGACAACAATGACTACTGTAAAATATACAAATTTTCGGCAGCTATTTAATTTCGGCTATATTCGGCACCGACCCAAAACGCCTAAATTAAAACGCCAATGACATTTTTCACAGCATCTGTCGCACTATACCATGCCCTCTACCCCACGCCGAAAATAAATTGCCGCCGAAATGTCAAAAATCGTGAAGTGCCGAAATTTTGCAGCGCCGAAATTTTGTATATTTACAGTATGTAAAACGTCATGATTGTATATCTACCAAGCTGCATAGCTAGCAGACCGCTCTGGCCTGGGCCGACTGTACTGGGCCATAGCATGGGGTGCGCACGTCGCATGGGCATGGGTTAGTGGTCACACCTGAACTATGGTCGAAAAAAATCAGGGGGGTTCATTCGAACCCCCCGAACCCCCCCCCCCCCCTGGATCCGCCCCTGATATAGGATATAATATTATATCCCTGATGATGCCCTCCTGGGTGAAAATTTGGACAATCTCAACTGTACGTGGTGTAGCCAAGGACTGTTTGTGTGTTACGAGTTGGGTGTACTGAAAATATGATAAGGCTACAGTAGAGTGTCAAAGTTCTTAAAAAAAGACCATGGAAATGCAATAACATGAAGGCTGGGTATCCATCTGCAGCAGTGACCACAGGTACAAGCCCTCTCGAAAATAATTGCCTGGATTGTAACTGACATCTCAAGCTGTGACAGTGGCCTTACCCTGAAACAGCGCGATCACTTTGCAGGGGGCTGCCAGATGCCTGTGATGGAGACATGCAAGAGCCGAGTTGCACCGCACGACGTACTTGCACCAATAACGCCACCATCACTGCACAAAGGACGAATGCTGCGCAGCTGCTGAACGCCGCAATCACCATGTAAGGCACTTCCTTAGATTGAGCGTCCGCTTGTTCCACACCTGCAAGGTCAACAACATCATCAACATCTATTCATCTTGGACACCCTGTAAGAAGACTTTAGGGTCTGTTTGGAATGCCCAAGTAAAATGATAAAATACAATTCAAAATCAAGCATGTACACAAACACACCATGGATAGACATTATTGAAGTTTTCTGCTGCATGTTTACAAACACGTACATTTACTTGTGCCCAGAGACCTGCATCACCGCTTCACGCAAGACGTGTTTTTAGGAAAGCATGAGCGAGTCAGCTCCACCGCTATCTTCTTACTAATAGGTTGATAAAATGAACAATTTTCATCATGGAGAGGGGGGGGGGGGGGAGTAGGAGAGAGAAGAAGAAAGACTAGTGCACTTTTAAAAGAAGCTTGATTGCCAATCATGGCAATATGTTGGCCCTTTTGAAAACTGGAGCGGCATAGCTTCCTGTGTATATCTTTGGTGTGTGCCAATGCGCTTGGCAAACTGCAATTCAGTACCTGCCAAGTATTTTTCTTTTTTGAAATGCCAGAGTTGCATTGTGCATTCCCGAAACTATAGAATGATTTGAAGGCATTGGTGTTGGCCAGGGCAGATAAACATCCCATGCACTCCCACATCCCATGCACTACCACATCCCATGCACTACCAGCCTACACCCTCTCCTACGGCTAGCCTGACTGCTGAGTACGTCCACTTGCCGTGAAAGTAACAGACTGACTACAATGTTGTACACAGACAAAAAGTATACCTTGAGGCTCAGCGAGGGATGCATCAGTCTTGACGAAGGGAAGCTCTGCAGCAGTAGTAACTGGCTCTACGACAGTAGGCGCACTCGTGTACGGAGGAATATCGACTATAATGCTGGGGGTTGTTTGAGTTCTCTCGGACTGGACCCACGTAGCTGTGGTGTCTGGGTGACGCGTGGCTATAGGTTGTACGCTGTGGCTAGAGCTCTGTGGTCTTGCCAAAGAGGCAGAGGGCTCTGGTGAGTGACCTGGATCCGGCACGCACCCGTACAGCTCCAAGCGCAAGCAGATCAGCTTGCTGCTGACGGTCTTCGGGTAGATACGCAGGATCTTAGCAAACACGCCACGCTCAAACCTGCGCACTGCGAGAGTGCTGCTGTCCAGGTTGCCTGCGAATGCAGTACTGCCATTAGCCGACAACAGTGCTGTGAAGGCACTGGTTTTCCTCATGGACAGTTTAGTAGCCAAGTCAACTTTAGTCTGGGTCGGTACAAAAGACATTTTGTAAGATGTCACCCAACACTTCAGGAACTCGCAGCCGCGCGTGCCGATGGCCACAATTACGCGCGGCTGTGGCAGTGTGATCTGAAGAAACTGCGGCCGTCCCTTGTAGTGTAAACAAGACGCTACCCACGCATCCGGCGGCACTCCTGTGTAGTTAAACAGTGCGTGACGCGCCGTGTACGCCACGGCTTCCCGTGAGCCGACGCGGCGGATTCTGGAATGCGAGAGCGACGTAAGGTGTGCGTGTGCGGACACTGCATCGCTGACTAGCAGAGCCTGGGAATGAGCGCAAACCTCGTGAACACCTGTACAAACAAAACACACACAATCGTGCATTGTACATTGTACACACATGTATACCATGTACAATGCGCGATGTACAACCGTAGCAAGAGAAGTGCACAAAGCTGCAAATGCACTGGATGTGCACAGTGTCTGCTCCAGAGCCGGGTCAGCCGGGTCAGCGACCCGGTTGGAGGGTACTTGGACCCGATTGGAAAAAGAACACCAGTTCACCCGTGACCTGGTTGGGAATACACACCGGGGAGTCCTATTATGTACAGCTCCCTGATGTATATATACATGCAGTGGTCACACTTGAACGGACCCAGCTCTGACCCGGTTGGAAGAGTTGTGCCAGGTATACGCGTACCCGGTTGGTTTGAAATCCTAGAGCAGACACTGGATACACACCCACAGATTGCCTCTCCCCCCCCCCCCACACACATACATACACATACACATGATTGAATACACTGTAGATACTGGCTGAGTAACTGAGTACCATACAGGGTGTTGTGCCAGCTATACGCTGCAAAATGCACTTGGACTGAATCAGTATAGACTGTAGTAGGGATAATGTCATGGCAGTGAGTCGGCAGATTCACGTTAGGACACGATGCATATAGCGCCAGTCTGAGGATTAATTGCTTACGGGGCGAAGTGATTATTATTATTATTATTATTATTAAATTTCGAAAGGGCAGTCCCACAGGCCTAAGTGATGAGTGTAACACCAGTACAAGTGCATCGCTGTGAAGCATCTTGGCATTCTTGCCTTCTCCTTACAAAGTGTGTCAACTGATGTCTGATATCGAATGCATGGTATCTACATGAATATTCATAGGCATGGTCCTAGAATCTGATACTGTAGTGTACTAAAATTTTACAGTGCTGGTCAATACTGGCAATAGGATGCTAAATCAGACAGCCTTGTTTGATCTATCTATAGTCCACACAGAGCTGTGATCTGCCATACAACTGTGGCACAGGTATCATCAAGAAGGCTTCGGCCAAGTTCAGGGGTTTGCATACTGCTTTACTCCGTCAGTGTTCCATAGGCTAGAGCTGAGAGCTCCCCACAATCATAAAAATTATTATGATTGGCACAGCTATCCATATAGGTAAAGACCTTGGTACGGGTGCTATCCGTGGCCATAGCCTAGATACGGACCTTGGTACAGCTATCCAGTGCAGCTTTGCACAGCTATTCCGCAGTAGTTTTGCACAGCTATTCCGCAGTAGCTTTGCACAGCTATTCCGCAGTAGTTTTGCACAGCTCACACGAGTACTGAGATCTCAACTAAAGAATGGCTGCATGCAGTTCGCCATAGTCGGTCAGGGGTGAACTCACCTTCCGACGAAACCCTCGGTAAGGTTCCACACAAGGCAACACTGAACACCAACGCCAGCACCTCGGAATTAAAGACTTGGTCGCATGGTCACGATAGATCGACCAGGGCACGGTTTTGCCGACTTCGTGGTGTTGTAACACGCCGATTGCTCAGGTCCACTCCTTGTGCCGTGCGAACATTTTTTACGAGACCAGTTTCCACAACGCGCATTTGCTTCGATCGGCGTTGGGGAGTCCTCGTTGTCGGTTGAATCAGCTCCGGAGTTGTTGCAAGGAAAGTCAAAATGTACATGTCCAAGCGATATCTAGTGGCGGAGCTAATGAGTAATGTTCTTGTGGGAAAGCGGCAAGACTAAACCAATAGCTCGGTTCTGTCGCTGACTACTTGGTGGTAACCACACCGGCAGGTTGGTTCTCCCATCCCTCCCAAGCTGTTACCCATAGCCTAGGTCCAGCACACGATGGCGGGTTCCTGTGCATCGTCAGTCTCAAGCCAGGAAAGCAGTGCTAGTGGTGCAATCCGCGATATTCATGTTAAAACAAAATGGCGTCACGATTTATTGAAAGTGATAGTTGGTGGTACGAGTGTTCAAAACCATTTGAACTTCATACTGTTCGTCTTCTTTTTGACATGCTCTCTTTGCATCGTTCTTAGCTTTTGTTTGTTGTGAGCTGTTTTGGCTTTCTCCTGTACCTCTGGGGGATGCCAAGTGATTGTTTTGAGAGGCTGGTGATGGCTGTGAGCGAGAGCTTGCCGATCGGCGTCGTCCTCGCTGTAGCGATGAAAATACTAGTTACTGCGCACCTGGCAGATATCACAACACGTCGGAGCGTCCAGGAGCAAAGGAATCTTGGGTTTTCACTGGAATCTAGTTCCTCCAGCATCGTGTAGCCCACCGTCGGTGAATGGCGGTCCAGAAAGGTCGAACCTGGTCTTCTGCAGCACCTCGCAGTCCTGCTAGGCACACCGTGTACGCCTGCCATGTATTGTACAGATAAAACTCATGCAATAGTGGACTCTACAGTGATGAGTCTCAGCCTGTATGCTGCAAAAGACACAGGAAATGTGACTGGTGTCTATACACTCAGTGACTGGACGCCAACACCCCAGTCTTCTCCTGCAGGATCTGTTTGACATTGACATTATGCAGTAGGTCGGCATTGACCTGGTTTGGCAGCTATCGTAATAGTATCTGCCTGGTTGGATGTAGCAGGTTGGCGTTTGCTCGTCGTCCAGTCCGGAATTTTCTTGTAACTCACGGTGGAGTACGCGCAGGGTTTGTGATCATCCCTGTTCACTTCAATGTTATCAAACACAACGTTCCCTTTGTCACTCATCTTATCCTAAGTACTGAATTTGCTGACAATATTGCACCACAATTTTCACAACCTACCGCCACTGCTGGCGGTGGCGACTGGTTCGTCAATGGCGGTGAGCAGGCTGACTGACTAGCTTCGAGACAGCGGCCTCGTTGTCAACCCTGCGACAGCCTAAAGGTTGATTTTATCGATCCAGCCTCAGCGCCATGTTGACGATGCCCTAGTGACTGTGTGTCATGGATTGCCTTGCCATCAGCGGTCATTGCCGTCCACCTCGGTGCAGCCCTCAACAACTGGCTCAGCCCATGGGAGTCTCAAGTGGACAAAGTTGTTGCCAAAGTAGCTCAGAAGATTGGTGCATCGTGGTGTAGGTGAGCACATAACTAGGACTTCCCAGCGCCTATTTGTCCAGGCTGCGATACTATGTGACATGCTGTACTGCACATTCTTTTCAGCACTGCAAGGCCGGCAGCTGGACCGACTGCAGGGGCCGCGCACATGCAGGCCGCCTGTGGCCAGTGCAGCATTCTGGAACGTTCCTTCCTTCTGAGATCCGTGGAATAATAACTTTCTTTGCTTCAAAGCAAGTTGCTTACCTTTCTGTTGTGCTCCCAGTGTCCTTACAACAATAACCTACAGCAATTTTTTTATTTTCCTTTCCATTCCCCAACCAATGAATACAACAATGTCGATTCTATTTCTGAATACTTTAGTGTGTGCCCGCGCATGCACGTGTGTGTGTGTATACCTCACTCGCCACTCGAAGTTCTGTTCCCCATTACTGGAACACTGCCTGTTCTTTCAGGACATGCCATCATCTGCGGATGGGCATTCAATGATTGTATTGTGTGTGTGTGTTTCATTCAGAATCAGATCCGCTATCGTTGCTATAAGAGAAAATCTGTGGGTTCACATCCAGTGCATTTGTAGATTTGCGTGCTTTTCTCGCCACGGGTGCATACATGGGACATTGTGTGTGTGTGCGTCTGTGTGTATGGGGATATTGTCTGTACCGGCTTTTGGTACTAATGTTCAGGTCTGTGCTTGCATGTGTGAACATAAAATTGTTCGGTTCTGTGCATGCTATTGCTATGTTGTATATTATTGTATGTATGTGTGCATTTCCACGAGCAGTGTAGATGAGCGTGGAGAGTGCATTCATCCCTCATCAACCACTTCCCCTTGGGCTTACGAGAGTTTTTTCTGCGTACCTCTCATTTTTGTTTGTTTCTCTCTGATACTGTATTGATGCCAGTACCTGTACCTCGATGTGTTCCTCTATCTGCAGTCGCCTTTATTCTTCGGTCAAGTTAACGTTTATTGTGCTCTATTTATCGTGCAAACAAAATAAACAATAATAACACAAGTCATGCTAGAGTGACGACATGTGCGTGTAGTAGGGTTGATGCGATGGGACGTTATAATTAGGTGGAACAGAACACACATTGGGCAGATTGATTGGGCATCATTGATTGTGCTCAGTCTAAACAGTGAACATAATAATTATCTCCAGTGACAGACTGTAGCGGCTAGCCTCCAATAGGTAGCTGGCACTAGTCGCTACTGCTTGTTTGACAGGTGCCGCCAGAACCCCTGTTGTGTCATGCTATGGATGCACATGCCCTATTCTGGGGCATACTGAGGTACTTTGATTTTGTTGACTGCATGTAGACAGCATCCAATAGTAGTACTCGTAGACCTTGGCTCTTTGTAGGTCAACCACCATCGCATGGATCGATCGGTGACTATGCACTTGGAGGTTGGAATAGCCCGCGCTGAACAGATCTTGCCATGGCCCAGGGAGTGAACTCGCTTACTCGACTATCCCGGTTTTAGTTAACCAGCATGAGTGGTGCAATTTGTCCATACCATGTTGCGAGCTCACAGTTGTTTGGGCAGGTTTTGAGCTGCACCACGAAACAAAGCGAAATAACGGCGTGACTGTAGAGCAAGGAAGCGGCGAGACGGCACTTCCAGGACCGTCGGAGACAGGCAGTAGAGATGTGTTCACAGCACGAGCAACCTCTCAAACCCTGCCGGTACTCCACAGTTACAAGAAAATGTCGGACTGGACGACGCGCCAATGCAAACCTGCTACATCCACCCAGGCAGATAGCTGCCAAACCAGGCCAATGTCGACCCACTGCATACCGGTATGTCAATGTCAAACAGATCCTGCAGGAGAAGACTGGAATGATATTGGCGTCCAGTGTACGGACACCAGTCACATTTCCTGCGTCTTTTGCAGCATACAGGATAGACTCATCACTATAAAGTCCACTACTTCGTGATTTTTATTTGTAGAATACATGACACGCGTATTCAGTGTGCCTCGCAGGACTGCGAGATGCT